GCCCTTTTTTGGGGCACGTGCACCGTTGATCAGACTTAACAAGGTAGAACCTAACGTCCCTGCTTTTCATGTTTTTGCAATTGACATTTATTTTTATTCGTCAGAATCATCGTGTAATCCAGTTCATCCCCCCGTTACTCCATTGTGAACTGTTCCAACTCAACTAAGATGCCAACGGTAACCTCACTTGAACGAGAATTTTTTACTTTCCCGAGACAAACGGAAGGGGTTATTTGGAAAGGGTTCGAGTTCTGCAGACAGACCGTAGGTAGCATTATGCTCCTATGATGGCATGCTTTATTCTAGCAGAGTGATCTCCTGAACCATTCGGCTTGCCTTAAGTGAAACTATGATTCGGAAATTTAGGCCTGACCAACTCCCAATGTTGATATGATTTTACCCATCACATATTATTTCATTAAAAAACATCGTTGAGTCAATGCAACGATACAAAATATTTTATCCGCACATGTTTGCAATGTGATAGATGCTTGACTCTGCTGCGACGCTCCTCTTGGAATATGAAGTATTTTATTACTGTGGAAACGAATGCCTTGGGCCTCCTGGGGACAAAATATTTTCTTTTAGAAAGAGCGATAGCCTGCGGTGGAGAACAAGCAATTGTGACAAACCAGTATAGAGTCCGATGGCTAGTTTACTATTCACTTTTGCGGGTAAGGAGGTGCGGGCGGAGGCAGCTGAGAATGATATTCCGGATGGTGTTTTGTTCGGGAGATGTCAGCGGATATGGCAAGGCTGATTCCTTGATGTGATGCTATTTGAGTTCAATTGATCCTTTGGTCAAAAAACACTCGTTCCCTGTGGATACCCCAAACTCACAAGCAGTTCCACATGTTAACCTCACCATCCCCGCCCGAATAATCAACCACCGCAGGTATACGGTCATATTCTGAATGTTTCCAACCAAGTCATAAATTCGGGGACTAGTTTTGAGATTTAATAAGCGAGATGCTGACAAGCTTTCATTGAAAGTCTGTATTTTATTGGATATGAACTAAATGAAAAACAGCCTGATCAGCTTCCCGATGAGTATCATGCCTACGTTACGCCTGTTACGTTCCACGTTCGATACACAGTTAGGTTAATAGATTTAGACTGCTAATGAGACCACACCAGCTTGAAACAGCTGTCTAATGCTTGCTGGCTTTGCAGTGCAGGCGGATATTCACTGTACATGTATGGTCCATAAGAGAACTAATAGGAACGTTTGAGAAAGCTGTCTGTTTTAATCCCTCCGAATCAGGGTACACTCAAACTGCCTAGAGGACATAGCAATCAATCGACTTTTTCATCCTTTCTAAAACGGAATAAACTGGAAATACCTAATGAATTTCAGACAAGGAAATGACAATTGGCCTTAGTCGTATTATATGATGCTCTCCTACTCAGTGGTGAATGGGCCGATACACTTTATTATCCCGTTCAGGTAAAATCTATGTTCGAACTCTAAACTTGCCCACAGGAAAAGCAATTCATCGCGCGTTTATCCCCGTGAAAGGTTAGTCTATGACTTACAAATTTTGCAATATATCGAAAGACACTTAGCCCTTTAGATTCCGATTAGCAGAAGGTGCTTTATGAATTACTAGATTGATAAAGTGGGAAACGAAGACGAACGGAAAAATTCATCTGTCCCGCTAAATTTAGGGGCAGTCTAATGTCGCCATTTTTGCCCCGGTTGACTTACTTTGCATTTGTGTATAACAACTTGTGGTCTCCCAATTGCTTTCCATGTCCAGCGTCATCTCGTAGTAGGCGCTCAGTTGCACGTCGTACACACTGTTCGGTTCCAAATCGCTAACCGTGTACGTGTAACCCGAGTGGATCGAGGCGTACGCAACACTGACAGACCGTGCGGGGAATTCCAGGGTGCGCATCACACCCGAACTGTCCGCGAATCGTTTGGAGCCACCCACACGAAGCTAAACCGAAAACAAACCATGTGAAATAACCAGGCCAAGGTTGGCGAATTCGCAAATGAGTTATTTGATCATAAAATACACCAGAGTAAACACACTTTAGTTCAAATTTTCTGGTCATTTTCAGAGTGACAATCGTCGTAAGAGTTAATCATATATCATTTATGGTTGAGCCCGCTCGATTTTTCCCAATAATTTGGATTTGCGTACAATCCATGTGTGTGTATTTGTTTTGCATTTTGGTAACGTTTTGGAACGCAATACCGATAAAAAATAACAGGAAAAATCACTGAAATCATTTGATCAATAATTTTCGAAATTTCCATACGGACCAATAAGATTGCAGATTCTTATCTCCATCGCTGAAAATTATGTCCGCAGCTCATCGGTGCAATTTTATTTGTAAATTCTTTAAAACTGGAAAGTTCTATCGAGGAACGAACTCTAGTATATGCGATAATTTGCATGAAATATGCCCAAATGCTTTAGCTAATGTTACTGTTATCAGACAATTATTCAATATAACAAATCCAAAGTTCATCACTTATTTTGTTTTAGGAAATGCCATTCAAATGAATTGCCGTTAACCTTGAATCATGTCGTTCTTGCTAGGTTCTATTCAACGGGGCTACTTTTCGATTTGAATTGAAAGTTGACGGTTTTTGTCAACTAAGAGGTGACGTTTTCTTGTTCCCGGAGGTGATAATCAGTCATATAATAAAAAATCATCCGATTAATTATCCGACCTGTATCCCTCGTATGATTTAAAGCTTTTTTTCTGAAATAAGATACCGTAAACTGGTTTTCATGTCTTTTCGTCTAAGTATTATAATTAATTACCTGCTGTGAGAGCGGAACTTTTAACAAAATGACGTGTACTCTGTTTGAAGTCCCGTGTTTTTTATTCTGCATTATTATATCGATTACTTATCACGCATCTCTTTCTTCCGCCGGTTGAGTGTCCAGCTTGTTAACATCTTACTTGAATGTGAAGGATACAATCATTGCCATCCTACTGAGGGTGGGCATATCCGTGTGGAACCTTGGGGCTGTACAACCCCCCCACCCACCCACCCACCCATTGGAAC